GTCCCACTGGCCCACACGAGGACGGACCCGGGGCCCCATCCCTTCATGTTGCCTCTCCTCCGGCAGCCCTGGGCCTGAGGAACCCCCTGGGAGTGCAGAGCCCCTACTCAGCTGCCTTTGGCATGGCCCACCCCGCGGTGAACGGGGACATGGCCGGGACAGGCGCCTACGCCAGCCTCCACCTCATGTCCCCGCAGCTCAACGGGGCCGCAGCCACCGTGGGAGCTGGCAGCTACGGGCGCTCTCCCCTGGTACGTGAGCCTCTTCCCTGTGGGGCCATGGGGCCGTGGGGCACGAGCTGCTCTCACCCACTGTCTCCTCCAGGTGGGCTATGACCCGCACCCCCACATGCGCGTCCCAGGGCTGGCGGCCAGTATGCAAGTGGGGACTTCAGGGAAACCGTAAGTGGGGCCATGCTGGGTTGGGGGCTGCACCAGGGGCAGGGGATGAGGTGTCCTGCAGAGCTTCAGCTGGACAGGGGGGCCAGGGCCGGTGGGATGGGGAGCGTGGCGTGGGGCGATGCCCGTTCCTGGGCAGTGACAGGCTGTCCTGTGCCCAGCCTGGCGTCACTGGGCACCGCTCCGTGCGTTGCTCCGGCTCCAAACCGCGCTGACGGTGTCGGACATGCTGGCTCTGATGTGGCACTGGCCGCTCTCCGTTCAGGATCCTCGGCTGGTTCTCACTGCTCTGCTCCCTTCCAGCGCCTACTCCTTCCACGTCAGCGCCGACGGGCAGATGCAGCCGGTGCCTTTCCCACCCGACGCCCTCATCGGCTCCGGCATCCCCCGCCATGCCCGGCAACTCCACACCCTGACCCACGGAGAGGTGGTCTGTGCTGTCACCATCAGCAACTCCACGCGACACGTCTACACCGGGGGCAAGGGCTGTGTGAAGGTGTGGGACGTGGGGCAGCCAGGCACCAAGACGGCCGTGGCTCAGCTGGACTGCTTGGTAAGAAGGGGTGCACCACCACCCTGGCACGGCTTGTTTCCCTGCACTGTGCCACCGTGCTGTGGTGAAGGGGGGCCTGGGGTCCCATCTGGGGAGCTCAAAGGTGCAGGAGGCATCTGAAAGAGATGATGTGCATCAGGGAAAGCCTCCGTGTGTGTTTCTAAGCAGGGGTGGTGTAGGGCTGCTGGGGAGGGATGGTGGCTCCATGCGGGCAGTGTGCTCACTTGCACTGTCCCCTCCTGAGCATCCCAAGGTGCTGGGAGGCTTTTACACCACCTGCCTTGGCACTGCTTTGTCTGACAGCACCTGTCCTAAGACAAGCCTTTGCTGTTGTCAACCCCCCTTGGCCAGACACTTTGTACAGGCCAGAATTGCATGGGTTGAAGCATCACTCGGATTCAGCTCTGTCCTCCTTTCTGCTTTTGCTTGTGTGAGTCTGGCTGGAGGGAGAACTCCTATTTCTTTTAAAAATAAATGAAATGGACTGTCAGACCACAGCAACTCACCAGAGCCAAGCCAGAGGCACAGCTATCACCTGAACGTATTTTTAACCTGTGTTCTTTGAGGTTTATTTTAAACGGGCTGCTGGAATTGGAGTCCCTGTGCCTGCTTTGAACAGCCCAAAGCCAAGACCTTTCCTCGACTTGCTGGCCTCGGGGCCTGGGCAGCCTGACAAATATTATTCTTGGACAGTGCTGACCTTGAAGATACAGATGCATAAACAAGGAAATGACTGAATCATGATAATTTCAAGCTGCATCAGAAATTTGGAAGCAAGGGAAAATGGTGTTTTAGTGCTCGGAGCCATGGGCTGTTTCAGCCTTGGAGCTGCCTCCCCAGCTGCCCCTTGTCTCCTCCAGGACCGGCTGGGTCTGTCAGGCAGCTGCTGGCAGGGATGCTGTGTGGTGAGGATGTCCCTGAGGCTGTTCATAGTGCAGTGACAAACTGAGGGGGGCTCCTGTGGGGGCCGGCCGGGGCGACTGCTCTGGACATGGGATGGGGTGGGCTGCACAGCTGCCCCTGCCCCAGCCCTGCTGTCCCGGGAGGGTGGCTGGAGTCTGCCCTGCTGCTGCTGTTCCTGCCCTTGGGATGGGTGCAGAAGGGCTGCAGAGGAAGGGGCTAACGGGGTCCTCACTCCTGCACCCCAGAACCGTGACAACTACATCCGCTCCTGCAAGCTGCTGCCTGACGGCCGGAGCCTGATCGTGGGGGGGGAGGCCAGCACCCTCTCCATCTGGGACCTGGCGGCCCCCACGCCCCGCATCAAGGCCGAGCTCACCTCCTCTGCCCCCGCCTGCTACGCCCTGGCCATCAGCCCCGACGCCAAAGTCTGCTTCTCCTGCTGCAGCGACGGCAACATCGTGGTGTGGGATCTGCAGAACCAGACCCTGGTGAGGTGAGCCCGGGGCATAGGGGTGTGGGCAGGGCCATGCAGGGTCCTCGGGCCAGGGACTGCTCAGTCTCCTCCGGGCCATCCCCACCCTTCCCTGCAGTCTAACCCTGGCCATGGGACAGTCCCAGTCCTTGCAGCGGGGATCTCCTGCTCGTCACTGCTGGGTGCTGCCCCGGCCTGCGCTCTGCACTGCAGGTGCTGATGGCCCTGACAGCCCTGACCTTGCCTTCTCTGGCCTCTTCTTTCCCAGGCAGTTTCAGGGCCACACCGATGGTGCCAGTTGCATTGACATCTCTAACGATGGCACCAAGCTGTGGACAGGGGGGCTGGACAACACAGTGCGGTGCTGGGACCTGCGGGAGGGCCGTCAGCTGCAGCAGCATGACTTCAGCTCCCAGGTAAAGGCTGGGACGCCCGGGAGCACCCCGGGGCCGACCGGGACCTGCCGTGCTGCTGCCTGACCCTGTCTCTCACCCCCTCAGATCTTCTCCCTGGGGTACTGCCCGACAGGAGAGTGGCTGGCAGTGGGCATGGAGAGCAGCAACGTGGAGATCCTGCACGTCACCAAGCCAGACAAGTACCAGCTGCACCTCCACGAGAGCTGTGTCCTCTCCCTCAAATTCGCCTCCTGCGGTAGGCATGCCTGTCCCAGCCCCCCGGCTCTGGAACCTCATGGATGCTGTGTCCTCTCCTGGGCCAGTGTCCCAGGGCTAATTGCACTAGGGGCAAGCACTGGCTCCAGTAGCCAGCCTGGTCCTGTGCAGATGCCAGTGGTATCCCTCAAACAAGGGGCATCTGTCCCTCCTGGAGCAACTCCCACAGCTGCACTCTCAGCTCCGTTGTCCTAGGACTCCCCTTTGTGTTCCTTAAACCAGCTCCTTGGCTAACAAGCGGCAGAGACATTGCCTTCTCATCCCCACCTGGGCAGCCTGGGAACGATTTGCTGCAGGAATCCAGCTGGGGGGCCTGGTTTGGTGACACAATGCTCCTCTTTGTCCCTTCTGTCCCTCCCACAGGGAAGTGGTTTGTGAGCACAGGGAAGGACAACCTGCTGAACGCCTGGCGGACGCCCTACGGAGCCAGCATCTTCCAGGTGTGGGGCGTGTGCAGCCTTTGGGGTCGGGGGAAGATGTTCCTCTGGGTGAGGTTGCCCAGAGACAGGACTGCACAGTAAATGTAAATGCTGTAAATAGATCTTAGCGATAACGAGCCCCATAAGTCAAGCATCTCCCTGCAGCCTCTCTGGGCACAGCTCGGGCCCCCAAGTCCCAAGGGGTGGGAGCGGGACCTTGCTCTGGGGCTGCTTCGTGCACTTACCCCCTGCCCTCCTCTCTCCAGTCGAAGGAAACCTCCTCTGTCCTCAGCTGCGATGTCTCCACGGATGACCAGTTCATTGTGACTGGCTCAGGGGATAAGAAAGCTACAGTTTACGAGGTCATTTACTGAGCGCGCGAGAGGTGCCAACTCTGGGGAAGGGCCCACATCCTGTGGACAGGCAGACATCCATGTGGATGGACGGACTCTACCTGCCCCGCTGCTGACTTCCCAAAGAACGTGCAGCCCGTGGCTGGGGCATCTGAGCCGGAGGAGAGCGGCAAGGAGTGGAGGTGGCCCGGGGACCACGGCCGGGTGTCATGCTGGGCTGGGACATGATGGCTGCTGCTCACAGTGAATTTCCTGGGGACTTTCTCCTTGGTTTAGTCTTTATTTGTTGGTTTGTTTCTAAATCTGGACTGGGGGAGTTGGGGAGGGAGGGGGGTCACGGTGTCTGGTGCTGTTAGGATTTTTTTGAAGTTTGTTTTTTTAACTTTTTGCTGTGGGTTGTTTTTGTTTTTGTTTTGTTAAGGCTCTGGGCTAGGTGGAGGAGAATGGGCTCTGTCCTCATCTCCCTCTGTGCCTCCTAGGGTGTATTTAATTAAAAAAATGAACAAAAAGGCACAGCTGTGGCTCAGTGCTCTGTGGCTGTGGGATGGAGCCATGTTGAGGAGCAGGGCAGTGGTGCCAGCCCCTTGGGCTGCTGCTCTTTGTGCCAGGCAGGGCTGTGGGGTCTGGCACCTGGACGCCTTGCCCGTGGCGAGTGACCTGGGGCTGGATGGGTGCCATCCCCGGGGCAGTGCTGGGGAGAGGCCGGCGCTGGAGGAAGCGGTTTTCGAAGGAAATGAGATGTGAGCAGTCAGCGCTGGCTTATCGGCCTGGCTTCCTGCCACAGCTGCCGCGGGGACCCAGGGCTGTGCCGAGAGCCCAGCGACCACGGTGAGGGCTGGCGGGGAAGCAGGGTGCCACTGGCTCATGCCCCTGGGCCCGGCCTCCAGGGCAGGAGCGGCTCCCCACGCCGGGAAAAGCCTCTTCAGCATTGCTGGCTAAGGGAGGATGGGGGGAGCCTCCCCTGGACCCCCCCTGCTCCACATCAGGGCACAGACATGGCCTGGGCTGAGCTGGCATTGCTGGGGGATGCGACCCTCGCTCCGTACCCCGGCGGGGGTGCAGGATGGGAGCAGCTCCTGCCCCCAACGCAGGGCTCTGCACCCCAGCTGCTCCCTGGGCACGCTGCAGGTGCCAGTGCAGGGGAGGGGGGCTGGCACTCAGCTCCCCAGGGACAGGTTTCCATTCCTTCTGCAGTGATATCAGCCCCCTGGCCCGCCACCAGACCAGCCACTCTTTTGTTCCTTTTTATTAGTAAGGGATTGAAAACACAGTTAAATACATTTCTTTACTGATAATTTACAGCTGTTTCTGCAGCAGAAAATGGGTGCCATTAAATCAGTAGCAGTATTTCAGGAGCAATGCTATCTCAGTCACTCTTGGCCTTGTCTTGCCAGCCTGCCAGCACCTCGTGCATCCAGCCCCGACGGACAGAGGCTGCAGGATACCCGGATCAGACCTGGCCCTAAAGAACGCTCACCTCCAGCTCCCCCCTGCAGCTCTGCCCTGCGTTGGGCAGGAGCCAGAGCCAGGGCAGAGGAGGAGGGAGAGCAGGGCTGCAGGAGGATCCCTGATGGATGAGGGATGGTGATGGATGGGGCCTCAGTAGACCACCTCGTACACTGTGGCCTTCTTGTCGCCAGAGCCCGTAACAATGAATTTGTCATTGATGGAGATGTCACAGCTCAGCACAGACGAGGACTCTTTAGACTGAATGTGAGAGAGGTGGGCGGTGAGGGTGGCACTAGTGGTTGGAGCCACCATCATCCCCCCATCCAGATGCCTCCCCCGCACCTGGAAGATGCTGGCTCCGTAGGGCGTCCGCCAGGCGTTCAGCAGGTTGTCCTTCCCCGTGCTCACAAACCACTTCCCTGGGGCAGGAGACAAAGTAGGTCAGCGTTTGGGACTCCATTCAGGGGAGTGGACACCAAAAGGACCCATCTGGGGCTGTATGCAGCTCAAGCAGAAAACATGATGCTCGCCTACCGCAGGAGGCAAATTTGAGGGAGAGGACACAGCTCTCGTGGAGGTGCAGCTGGTACTTCTCAGGTTTGGTGACATGCAGGATCTCCACATTGCTGCTCTCCATGCCCACCGCCAGCCACTCTCCTGTCGGGCAGTACCCCAGGGAGAAGATCTGAGGGGGTGAGAGACAGGGTCAGGCAGCAGCACGGCAGGTCCCAGTCGGCCCCAGGGTGCTCCTGGGCGTCCCAGCCTTTACCTGGGAGCTGAAGTCGTGCTGCTGCAGCTGACGGCCCTCCCGCAGGTCCCAGCACCGCACTGTGTTGTCCAGCCCCCCTGTCCACAGCTTGGTGCCATAGTTAGAGATGTCAATGCAACTGGCACCATCGGTGTGGCCCTGAAACTGCCTGGGAAAGAGGGGGTGGGAGAGGGCACTGCTGCCAAGGCTGCCAGCTCCCTACGAACAAGCACCCCACCATGTTCCTGCCCTGTGCCAGCAGCCACCTGCCCCGGGCTCACCTCACCATGGTCTGGTTCTGCAGGTCCCACACCACAATGTTGCCGTCGCTGCAGCAGGAGAAGCAGACTTTGGCGTCGGGGCTGATGGCCAGGGCGTAGCAGGCGGGGGCAGAGGAGGTGAGCTCGGCCTTGATGCGGGGCGTGGGGGCTGCCAGGTCCCAGATGGAGAGGGTGCTGGCCTCCCCCCCCACGATCAGGCTCCGGCCGTCAGGCAGCAGCTTGCAGGAACGGATGTAGTTGTCACGGTTCTGGGGTGGGATTACAGGGAACAGGGCCAGTGAAGAAGGAAGGAGCTGAACAGTGCACGGAGGAGGGGTGTGCAGGAGATGGCTATTCTTTTCTCATCATGGACATGAAAGAACATTCTGTCCCCCTCCATTGTAGCAGGGGCATATTCCCCATCTCAGCCCCCACAAAACACCCTTCTGTTCCTCCTTACCAAGCAGTCCAGCTGAGCCACGGCCGTCTTGGTGCCTGGCTGTCCCACGTCCCACACCTTCACACAGCCCTTGCCCCCGGTGTAGACGTGCTGTGTGGAGCTGCTGATGGTGACAGCACAGACCACCTCTCCATGGGTCAGGGTGTGGAGTTGCCGGGCATGGCGGGGGATGCCGGAGCCGATGAGGGCGTCGGGTGGGAAAGGCACCGGCTGCATCTGCCCATCGGCGCTGACGTGGAAGGAGTAGGCGCTGGAAGGGAGCAGAAGCAAGGACTGAACAATCCCTGTGTGACACCTGAATGCAGAAGCCAACCTCTCCCATTAGCCATGCTTGAGCCAGGTGGAGGGTGTCTGCTGCACTCTGGCTAATGAGGGATATAATTAACCATCTCCTTGTTACCAGCAGCTTCCCAGAACAAAATGACAGCACTGGACTCAGAAGTGGAGAGAAAGTCCAGCCAGGCCCTGCTCTGCCCTACATCTGCTGGGTGTAGAAATGAGCTGTGGGGAAGGAGACCTCTCCCGCACCCACCCTGTGCTGCTCCCCTCAACTCTTTGCTGCCCACCCTCCCTGCAGCCCCTGCCTCTGGCCACACTTACGGTTTCCCTCCGGGGATGGTGGAGAGTGAAGATGAGATGGTGGAAGCCCTCAGGTGAGGGTGCGACTCAAAAGCCACCTGCAGAAAGCAAAGGGCACATGATGAGTGAAGTGCCAAACCCCAAGGAGGGGACAGGAAGGCTGGGTTCATGCATGCCCTGGGACAAGGCCAGCCCAGCTCTGCTCAAGGTCCCTGGTTGCTGCCTCCTCCCCATGGCAGTGACAGAGGCCAAAATGGGCTCCTGAAGACACAGCTACAGCAGTGGGGGCTTCTCAGAGAGCACTGCAGCCTCCACTGGCCCCACAACCCAGACACCTCCAGAAGGCAGCCCTTCCTATGGCTGCAACCCCCAGCTTGAGCTCACTGCAGCACTGCAAATACTGCACGTCAGGGACAGTGTGTGCCCAGGACAGCAGGGGACAGGGAGCAGAGCCGACATGCAGGCAGACTGGGCCTGTCCCTCAGCGACTTACCATTGGGGACCGGCCATACATCACGGCGCTGCTGACCTGCGGCGAGAGGTGGATGCCCATGTACATGCTGGGGGTGGGGAGCTCCCCATTGAGGGTGGCGTGAGGCACCATCCCGAAGGAGGACGTGTAAGGGCTGGACATGCTCAGCGGGCTGCGGAGAGCTGCACAAGGAGAGACCTGCTCACTGGTGCTGGCCAATGGGTGTGAGCAAGCATCACCCGAGGGACAAGGGTGTCTGGCAGAATCCAGGCAGCACAAGGCAGTGTTGTCTCTGCCCGAGGCCCAGCCAAGCCTGGCATGAACCAGAGGATCAGGAGGAGGGCAGGCAGGTTATGGATTGGGAGCCAAAGACCAAAGGAGAGGGGCAGCCCCTGAGTCCCATCAGTCATGGACCTGGGATGCAGATCCAGCATGGGAGATCAAATGGCTCTGTCCCTCCAGGGATGCACCACAGACCAGCCACTAACCCACAGCAACCCTCATCTCTGCTGCCAACACCTTTTCAGTCTTGGCCAGGACAAATCACTTGCAGTTGATGGCTAAGTGGCTCTACCTCCAGGGTTTCAATGGTTTATTGAAATCAATTCCAATTCAATTTTTGCTAAACCGCTGTAATTCTCTAGCCAGACAATGGCTTCATGTCTCCAGTTCTGGCTCTATTCCTCCCTTGGGCTAGCTGTCCTCCTCCCATCACTTCTTCATCCCTTTGGCTAGACAGTGGCCATGCAGTTCTAGAGACCTCTTCCCAAGGCTCCCCTAAATGTCTTCAAGGAAACGGAGGCAGGAAAAGGCGGCACGACCAGTTTGCCATCAGCCACCACAGAGGCCACTACTGAGCGCTCACTCCCCTTCCCCTGTGCTTTCAGAAGGTGGTAGCCATTGACAGGGGCTCCTGTGTCAGCTGGATCTCGCCATGTGTCTCTGTAGCACCCTGTGCATGCAGACCCTTACCCCCATGGAGATCCTCAGCTGCACAGGGAGACTGGCCACATCCTGGCCTCCTGCCTCCCTGAGTACTGGTGGCTGCAGGCATCCACCCCTCCTACCCCTGTGGCGTGTGGCTTCACATAGCAACAGCAAAATGACAACTTGACAGAGAAAAAAACAACAGTCTCCAGACAAAACACCTGCTCCTCCCGAATGCCCATAGCAAAGAGCTCTGCACATTGACACACCACCTCCAGTGGGTCTGAGTCCACCAGGACGTCAGCAGCTGGGTACGTGGTAATTGCACATAGGTGCACACATTGGCCATGGTGGGCATGTGTGAGCACGTGGAACAGAGCAGCCACCCCAGCTCTGCTGCTGGGAGAGAGCACCCTGCCTCCCCCGGCCCCGGCCCCAGCCCCCCGCCCCCGGCCACTCACTGATGGTGTCGGTGGTAGATGCCTTGGCAGGGGGCTGCCGGAGCAGGGCGGCCGAGCTGGGCCCGGGGCCGGGTGTCAGGGAGTCGCGGGGCGGCGAGGACATGGAGGGCTTGGAGGTGGGAGCACCGGCCGGCGGGTCGGTCTGTGCAGCAGGAGGGAAGAGCAGCCTCAGTGGCAGGACCACTGCCTGGGAGAGCAGCCCCCGGCACCGTACGCCTGCCAACAGCCTTGAATCACCCTGGAGGGGAGGGGGCACCAAGGGGCACCGTTCCTGGGCAGGGCTGGATGGGGACGTGGCCATCCTGGGCCCAATTCCCTCTCCTTTCCTCCTTTGCCCCTCGCACCCTTCCCACAGCGTGGAAGGAGCCCCACATCTCCACTTCCCCCGTCGGGTGCAAACGCCCAATGCAAGCCCCCAGTCACCCCAAACTGCCACAATTCTGTGCCCCTACAGCACCCTGCCTCTGGCACTAGGTCCCGCAGGGCTGTTACACAGAGATTTACTGCTCCCTTGGGCGAAATCCCCCCTGCACGGGGGGCAACCCCATCCCTAGCCTGTGCAGAGTAGGACCAGGACGCCTGGGACGAGCCGGCCTCTCCGATCCCCACAGCTATTTCACTCCTTTCTTTTTTCTTGCCTCTCATTTCTTCCTCTTTTTCTGCCTGGGGATTTTGTCGACACCAGCAAAAGAAAAAAAATTAATAACAGAGAAAAGCTACGTGCTGTGCTGGCAGATTGCTCAGGGCGCTTTGTCTGCTCTAATCCGATTGTGCTGGGGAGCTGCCACTCGCTGCTCCCTGCGGCCCCCAGCCGGCTGCTGACCCTGGGATGGCACGGATGCATCGCTTTGGTCCCTGCGGTGGCTGGGAGGGCTGAGGAGTGGCAGAAACATCCCTCCCCCTTCCCACACACTGATGTTTCAATCTGAGCATTGGGCTGGTGCTCAGCAAGGAAGAAGGGGAGAGAAAAAAAAAAAAAAAAAAAAAAAAAGAGAGAGAGAGAAAAATCGATTGCTGAGAGCAGCTCTGGGGAATCCTGCAGGCAGTGGGATGGAAAATACCCGCAGAACCAGCCTGTGCCTAGCAGATGATCAGCTCCTCTGAGGACTCCCAGTGCTGGGCAGTCCGGCTGTGGGGACCAAGCACTCAGCACCAGCATCGTCTTGCCCACATTTGGGCCGCAGCAGACAGGTCACAGAGAAATTCGGGGCCACGTCCCTGGCCCTGCTGCCCGCGCTGCTCCCTACCAGACTCTGGTCCTTCGGCTTGAGGGGCGTCGTGCTCCGGCTGGACGCGATGGAGGCCGGGCTCTCAGGCATCTCCCGGCGGGCTGGTGGGAGCCGGCTGCTGGGTGCGTGGCCGGGGCTGCTGGGCTCCGAGGAAGGGTCCTGGGGGAAGAAGAGGTCTCTGTGGAGCAGGAACCCCAGTCCCTCTGCGCAGGCGGGCAGGCACAACAGCCACCCTGGAGACCCACTCCCCGGCCCAGAGCCCAGCAGGGACCGTCCAGCCCCAGTCTGCTCCCCTCTGCCTGCTAGGTGAGCTGCCCACCCAGCTGCTCGTTGTCCCAGTCTGCCTGAGTGGCATTAATAAGAAGCATCTGCTTAGAGGCCTCAGCTTTGCTCCACGGTCCCCTGGATGAGAAACCACCTTGATTTTTCTCTTTGAACAGAATTAGGGGTGACAGCAAAGTCAGATGACACTGGTGTCCACAGATGCCTTCACAAGGAGGGAAGGTGACCAGCCCACCCAAGCAACTGAGAAAGGACCTCTTGGCAGCCCCTCAACAGCATTTCAGAGGCAAGGCCACCTAAAACCATTCAATTAGGGCTCTGATTTTTATCACCATAATTACACTGATGAGCAGTTTTTTTAAGTGTCCTTTTCTGCAGAAATCCCTGCTGATGTTCCTTTCAGGTCTTGTATTTTCTCAGGAAGTGGCAGGAGGAAAAAAAAAAAAAAAAAAAAAAATCACTTGTGTTGTACCTCCCCCAGTCTTCCAGGGGAGGAAAAGGGATGCCCCCAAAAACATCATCTCTGTCAGGAATAGCTGGGGCTGGGATAAAATACTGTTGTATCTGCCTTGGTGGGCAGGGAAGGTTGTACCAGAAGCGCCTGGCAGTTTGGCTGCAGGAGATTGAAATTCAGTGTACTCCCTGCACCGAGGCACAGACATGGGCTCAGTGTGTTAAAGTCAAGGCTGCTCTAAAGCCAGGCACCATACAAGACCGCCCAGACAGGGGCTGGCAGGGCCGGGCCAGGGGCGTGCTGCGAGCTCTCCTGCCAAAGGCAGCACAGCATGCCTGCCTGCTCCTGCCACCTCCACGTGTGTGAGCTGCCAGCAGCAAGCCCAACTCCCTGGGGCTCTCATCCCAGTTTATCAGCCTCCCCATATGGGATGCTACAGGAGAGGGGCTGAAACAGGATTATGAAGTGAAGCCAAGTCTATGGCTGGCAAAGCTGAGCCTTGACTGGCACAACCTTCCACCCAGAGAACTGCAAATCAGAATCAGCCTTGACTGGCATGAACACATCAGAGCAAGGCTGGCATGTGTCCTGGCTGGCTGCTCCTGCCCTGCAGCAATGACCCGGAGCCTAACAAACCCCAAAGCCTGGGAACCAGAGTCCTAAACCTGATGACTACAGCTTGAGCTGGATGCCCTGCAAGGCTCCAGTATGCCCTGAAGGGTGTGGGCTTACCTCATCCACCACGAGGTTGTAGTCGCTCTTGTCCCCATCGCTATCCTGCAAGGGGGAGAAACCCAAAAAGACTGTGTCAAGAGTGGGAGAGGCTGGACCTAGCTCTGCCCCACGGGACCCCAGGCAGTAGAGACCCCGTTTTCTCCTGCACATCACTCGTCGTGGAACACCACCACGGCAGGCAGTGACTCAACCCTTTGGCTGAGGGGCCTTCCTTCTGTTTGCTTCTTTTTGCAGGATTACAGCCCACTGCACCCGGGGCCAGCACAGAGCTCCCCGGGCCCCTCTCCCGCCGCCACGCTCTTTGTTGCACTCACATAATGCCCAGGCAGGTCCTTCTCTTCCCGCTTCCGCTTCAGGCCCGTGCCTCCCGTCCGCTCCTCATCCTGCAGGCTCTCAGGGGGGGAAGCAGAAATGCTCTGAGCCAGACAGGGGAGAGGAAGGCATGTGAGCCGGCGGGAGAGCAGACAGTCCACAAAGCCCTGCCAGCTGCATTTCCTCTTTGGAAGAGACCTCCCAGTGCTGCTGGCTGCACCCAGCCAGTGTCCAGTATCGAGCCAGCTATCTGTGTAGCCTGTGCCACAGGCGGCTTGGGGGGCAGGGGTCCCCTTCCCCCACCAAGCGCGTGTCAGGGCTAAAGGAGGTGGCACTACTCTCCCCTCTGCACAGATACCTGTGGCATCCCCTTACTGGCATCCCATGCACCCCTGGCCAAGAGTCCTCTAAGATCCAAATGTACCTGGGAGCAGAGACGGGGTTTAGTCTGGCGCTTTAAGCAACGCTGGGGAAGATGCTTACAGATCCCTGAGTTCTAGCCCAAATTAATCCGCTCAGCTCTGACAGGGCAGAGAGAAGGGAAGCAGAATGGGGACTGTCCCTGGGGGTTGGCTGCCCACAGCTTCCGGGCACGGGCAGAAGGGAGATGCATTTTTAGGGTGCACTGAGACTAACCCACATGCAGTCCCAACATGCCATCACCTCCCTCTCCCAGCTTGGCCCCAGAAGGACTCCAAAGTGAGCTGCCCTCACTGCTTCCCCTGCCCAGCCCTCACCTCCCAAACCCAGACAGGCCCCACACCCCAGCCTCTCCCCGGGGAGAGCACGACTGGTCCCTTGGCCTGTCACCACCTCCACCCTGGCAAAGCATCTCCCCGGCTGGCAGGCAGGAGAAAGAGGGAGAAAATAAAGCCCAGCCCAAACCCCCAAAGCCACAGGCTCCTGTTCCTTGCCAGAGCAGAGGGGTGGGCAACGGGGCAGCAGCCCCCACTGGCAGATGAGCCCTGCTGTGACAGGGCCAGGGGACAACCAGGAGTCACAGCCAGGGCTGCATGAAGCCAGGAGCTGAGCAAGGCAGCATCCCCGGCAAGCTGGAGAGCAGATCCGCCCCTTTGGGAGATAACAAGGCATGGCGGAGTGGAAAATCCCCATCGGAGACATGTTTACTTCACCTTAACCCTGCCGCTGCAGGAGCCAGCAGGCTGGGAAGCAGGATGGGGCTGAGCAGGACAAACGCCCCTTCCCCGAGATGCTACCAGCAGCCGCGGGGGTGTCTCAAATCCCCTCCTGCCCCCCATGCTCACTGCTCCAATGATGATAATGCAATCAAGTGGTGCCTGCCCACCTGCAGCCTCCTGGCTCTTGTGCAAACTGGAGGAACACCAGGCTGACACCGGTTATGGGAGAGGCTTCCCTTCCCCCCCAGAGCAGCCCGGGTGCTTGGGCTGGGGCAGTTTCTGGGGTACAGCTCCCTGACCTGCCCAGGACTGCTCTGCAGAGCTATTCCTACCAGGGGTTGGGGAGAAAATGCCCCATCCCAGGGCTCCCATACGGTCGATTGTTTCCAGCACAGAAGGATTAAGAGCCCTGGCAGACAACCATGGAGCGGAAAGGATGCTCCCTGTCCCCTGGGTGATCTCCAGAGGAAGTAGATGGGTATATATGGGATCACAGGAGTGATCCATCCTGCACAACACAGCAACCATCTCTCCCTCCTCCTCTCCCACCTGACTGCAAGCCTGTGAAGATCAATGCTAATTGCTCCCCAATGGAGGGGCTCATTAACCCTTCCTTCCCCTGCCTGTACCAGGAGCTGGAGCTCTGGCTTAATGCAACCACAGAGCCTGGGAAGGGAGTTGCAGACCTGGGATTCATGAGAGGCAACAGGGTATCTTGAAAGGAAGGGTGCAACCAAACATTGCAGAGGGGCTGGCAGCACTGGGCTTAGGTACCTGTTCAGAGTGTTTCCTAAACTGATAACTCCTTGAAAAGGACAGAGCTGGTTATTTAGGGAGCAGCCTTCGACCTTTGGACCCTTGCATCAGCAAAGACTCTGAATTGAAGTGGCCCAGAACCTTCAGCTACAAAACACCGATGTAAACATGGCCCATCCAAGCCAGCAAAGCAAAGGGAACAGGGGCTACAACAAACAGAGCCCCTTTGTCTTACATTCTCCTCTCAGATGTTCTCCTGGACTCCCCTACATCCCTACGCACACACATTTGCCACTTGGCTGCTCCCAGCCTCCACACTGCAGCTGGATTTACTCTCCAGCCTGCAGCACTGTGGAGTTCAAACACAGCTCTGTTCTATCCTAGACACGGCTGCATTTCAGCGCAGCCTCCGCCAGGCATGTGCCAGCGGAGTGGACGCCAGCTCAGGTGCAGGAGCAGGCGTGGAGCCTGTGCATTCACACCCTGGGGCTCAAGCTGGGTTTGCACATGCAGCGCTGTTCACCCGAGGGACTGGGCTGCCTCAGGAGTCAGGGCAGAGGTGCTGGGCCCTGCTCAGGGGTGACAGCAGAAGGGCTGGACACTTTACCCTGGATAAACAAGGGCGGAATGCATGGCTGGACATGGGTCAGGGCCCCCTTCGTTAGGCTGGCCTGGAAGGAGGCTCTTTCTAGCCCTTTGGAAAATCAGCTCTACTGAGAAATAGGGATGACCCCAAAATTCCTCAGATCCAGAGACTTGGTCCAGCCTCGTGAGGACCCTTATGCTGCCTATGAGAAAGGGCTGAGCTGCCCCAGTCCCTCTCCCCACCTACCCCACAGCTTCATGGGTTGCCCTCACCTCCTTGCCATGCTGGGCCCTTGCAACCTCAGTACCCCAGGCAAAGGCCAGTCCTGGGAGCCTGTCACCCTAGTCACCTTGTGTGCAAACACAGACAGCCTTGAAAGGCAACTCGTGGTGGCAGGGAGAGATGTCCACCAAGCTGGGGAGGTAGGGGAGGAAAGGAGCCCACACATCAGGAGAAATGAATGGGAGACCCAGAGCCCACGGCAGGAGAGCAGGGTCCCTGCACTGTGGTGACCAAGGGAACACCATGGACCCACTCTCCCCTCCCCAGGGAGCCCCACCACTCCAACCTGGCCCCACGTGTAAACAAAACCCCAGGCCCTGCCCCTGCCTCCCCTTGTCCTGGAGCGCAGCCTTGCAGGCTGCCACCCGGCAAAGGACAGCTCGGCCACTTCTGCACTGTTTGCTTTGAAAAGGTCAGGAATCAAAACATAACTGGAAATCCTATTGCGAGCACTTGCCAAGGGAGCCGGCTGCAGGAGACACGGCCCCTGCGCCTGCTCAGCTGGGAGCTGCCCCGAAGACCAAGGCAGCCCGGCTCCCCCAGCACCCGCAGTCCTTCCCAGGAGCCAGCAGCATCATGCCTGGAGCACGCCAGGGATGCTCGAAGTGGCTCTGGGGGCTGGCTGGCCGCGGGGCAGGGCAAGCCTGGCCACTGGCCCACGCACAGCGGCCAGCTGGGGCCACCAGCACGACTTACCCGGCTCGGGGTGCGCTCTGGAGCCCAGGCGGCAGCGGGGAGAGCATCCGGGTCGGTCCGTGTCGGTGAGGCAGAGGGGAGGAGAGGAAGAAGCTGTTAATGTGGAGGCTGTGCCCCAAGTACCCGGGGTAGGGCGGAGAGGGGGGCACTGCAAGGCAACACGGGGGGAGACAGCGGGACACAGGCTGAAAAAAAAAAAAAAAATCACACCTGATTTCCCACTTTGCCCATATGCAGCATGGATTCTCTGATGCCTAATAGGATGTGAGCACATTGGTCTTCCTCAGGGATGCAGGGGGAATCTATCCACCCACCTACTTTCAAGAAATTCACTCCAATTTTGGAATCTCTTCCTTGAACATAGCGACAGGCCCAAGGCTGCCAGGAGGGGACTATCTGGCCAGCCAGCTTCCACCGTCTGAATCACACCCATCCAATTTCCTTAGGAAGCCATGCTAAAGAGCCCTGCTTGGAAACCCTCCGAGGCTTTTTTACATGCACAACAAAACAGGTCCACCTCTCTGTACTCAGGGAAGAAGTGCCAGGCATTTGCTGCAAACCTAAGCATGGGGTTTTGGGCTGGGGAGGCAACCCTCCCTGGTTCATTTTCACTCCTACAAGTCACATCAGCATTTAGAGAACAAACTTGTCCCAGTCTCTGCTGGCAAAAGGAGGCAGGTGGGTATCAGATGAGGTACTCTCCATGTAGGCAGCTGCTCCAAGCCTACGGTCAGCACGGGGAGAACCAGGTCCGTGCCCACCATCAGCACTTCAGCCCTGGCTCAGCTTGATCCGCACCAAATCCAGCCAACTATGGCAGTGCACTAGGGATTAACCCAAGCCATGTGTAGCATTTCAATTTTTTTTTTTTTTTTTTTCCTCTCAAAAGGAATTATTCTGGATGTCTTTGTGCCCTCTGCCATGGCTGGATGCCCCTGCCAAGGAGCAGCTCTGGGCTGTGCATGGCAGAAGCTGACGCTGGAAACACAGGCTGTCCAGGTCTCTAAGGGTTAAGGCAAGCACAGCACAGCCTGCTTTTATCTTCTTTCTAGAGTTTGTTTTTCTCCTTCAGGGGAAGGCCATCCTTAAAGAAACACTAGCAGAATTAAAACCGCAGACACCTGTGTACAGGGGAGCAAAGCAGACATGGAGTTTCCTGCTGCTATTTTCACCACCTTGAAATTTCACAAGTGAAACTGGATCACACTAGAAAAATGCAACAAACCCCTCCACTGCCCAGTCCTGCTGTTACTGTTGGGTCCTGTCCCAGCAGCACTTTCAGGCCCTGAATTTGGGACATCAGGAGCAGCCAGCACCTTCCCCAGAGGAGTCTGCAGAGGAGCAGCTAAATTTTACTGCCTGTTTCTAGCCCGTAGAGCTGCTCTGCAGCCGGGAGCCCTCTGTCCATGCCTCAGTCTTCCTGTCAGCAAAAACACCCAATGCCTGCGCTCTGCAGATGGTGACTTGAGCTCAGAGTGGCTTCTCCTTCGTGCAGCACTTCAATAGCAACAAGCCACCAGCAAAGCTGGGTGATGTTATTAATCTGGCCCAGGCCTGCCAGTACCATTCAGAGCACTGATTTAATGATGATTAAATATTGATGATATTTGTAAAGCAGTTTGTGATCCTGATAGGAGGAAGCACCCATAAGGATGAGGAGTTACTGCTATTTACAAGGCATTACACAGGCAATAAGGCTCTGCTTTCTAAAATCCTTGCCACAGACCCACAGCTCCCACAGTTTCTACCAGGGGGTTGCAACAGTATTTTCCCTTAAAGTCTCAGCTTCAGGCATCAGATCTTTACCTGGTGTAAATCTTGGTGTAAATATAGAAGGTGTCTCTGTGGTAGGGATCTCCCAGCTGCCTCATGGACGGGACACACTCACACGCTGGAAATACTCAGGGGAGGAGGGAGCTGCTCAGCATCTGGGGTGCACACACAGTTACCCCCCAAGTGCCACACACCATCACTGCACGGCAGCTGTTCCCCTGGTCAGAAATAGAGCCAGCTTCCCAGGGCTTCAGATATTTAATTAGCTGGCTCTGTCGTTCGCAGTGCTTGCTGCTCCCCCTGGCCCCAGGGAGTAGCTGCCAGGCATTGAGGAGCCCCAGAAACAGGCAGAGCAGGCAGCAGGATCCCTCCCAGTGCAGCCCGTGCACCTCTGGGACATCTGCCCAGCACTGGCTCAGCCAGCCTTCAAAGGGTTAATCCAGTTGTGCTCCTTCCCCTTACCTCTGTTCTCCCCATCCTGGGCCACTCTGTCCTCCTTGGCAGCCAGCTGAGACTGTGCCATCAATGCCCCCGAGAGGGCCAGGAGCCCTGAGGTGCCGCTGACCCCACTCAGGCTAGAAGGCTGCATGCTGGAGGGGTGGGGTGTCAGCGGGATGGGGGATGCGTGGTGGGAGAGGTGCTGAAGCTGCTGCTGCTGAAAGAGAAAGAGCAAATGGTCCTCGATCCGGGAGGAGACAGCCACAGCCATGCCTGGCACCCCTCAGCTTCCTGCACGAATGGCGATGCAAAGCGCAATGGGATGAGACAAGGAGGCGAGCGGAGCTGTCAAGGCTGCGCAGGCTGGGCCACACCGCCTGCCCCTTCCACCTGGAGCACCCCAAGTACCTCCCCACCGTGGATGTGATCCTGACACGTGGCAGACGAGCCCAAGCCATGGCTCTGCCCTGCTCTGCTCAGGGCGGCGGTGGCCAGGGAGGATCCCAGAGGCCATCCACTGCCTTCAGGACACAGTGGCAAACCCTCTCGCTGTAAGGGACCAGCCCTGGGCTTATCGAAGTAGCAAAGACCCTGGGCTTTGCCCATCACTGCACTGTGTGGCCAGAAGGCCCAAGCAGGAGCCTTCACCCGCGGCCGAGCAGCACAACTCACCCCAACGATGCTGTTCAGTTCCCCCATGGTCACCTGCTTGGCCCGCTCCACAGCCTGCAGGACCTGCTGCTGGTGCTGGGAAGGAAGAGCACGGGGGAAGTCACACCGTGCTCCTGGCCGGAGGGACCACAGGGCCCAGCATTGCCCCAGCCGCCTAGGGCTGCACAGCCCACCCCCTACCATCCCTCCATCCCAGGTACGGAGGTTTTTGCCTCCCTGAACCCCCAACTGCTCAGGCTGGACTCAGGTTCACCCCTTCCCAAGGGCCTTGAAAGACTGAGCAGTCCAGCGCACATCCCCTGCCTCCCCCCTTACCTCCTGGGTCAGAAAAGGTATAATTTGGGCGCAGATGGCACTCAGTCTCTTGACAATCTCTGCCTGAAAGAGGAAGCAGGTATCACCACAGACAGGCGGGCTCTGAGCCCCGGCCCCTCCAGTGGAGAGGAGGGCAGCCAAGCATCCTGCAGACACACGCATCCTCTGAGGAGGAGTTAAACTCCCCACCCATACCCACTCAGCGTAAATCCTCCTGTTGCCTCTGCATCCCTGCAGGGATTTCCCGAGCTGCTGCCAAGGGAGGACTCTGCCCAGGGCTGTGGGACCCTCCCAGGCTGTCAGGTCCCCCCAGGCACATGCGAGGGAACCTGACTTCTAAATCCCTCCATGGATCCAGGCCAAGCCGAGCTCTGAGCTGTCAGTCCTTTAGCAGCCCAGCTGGCTTTGCTCAACCCAAACCCATCTTGGCTTTGCGGGCTGCCGTTCTCGCAGCCAGCGGGCAGGCTGGCAGGGAAGAAGGAGAGCCGAGCCGCAAGCACTGGCAACGGGCCACCAGCACGCTGCTTGCTCTCTCCCTGAACACTGGACTTGAAGCCAGAGGGAGCGCAAAGGGGGATGCAAAATTCACAGAAATTAACTCAGCCCTCTCTGCATCATGCCAGCAAAGCTCTGCAAGACACCAGTGGTGGTACCTGCTCTGCCCTCCTTGCTCCAGCCAGAGCAGGGGCCCCCACTGCCACCCCTGCCCAGCCAGCAGCTCTCCCGGCTCCTTTCAGAGCAGGAGCAGAGGCACAGAGCGCCCTGCGACCTGTCCCCTGCCCAGCAAGCAGCAACGAGGAAATGCAGAGGACCTGGCACATCCCCTCCTCAGCCTGCAGTTACAGACCCACAGCTCAGCCGCATCCCTGCCGGGTGAGCAGCATTTCCCAGAGGAAGGGGCTGTGGCTTCCAGCCCAGCCTCTCCAAAAGAAAACCTGCACCTCCCGAGGAAAACTTGATCCCCCTCTTTCGCTGCAAATCCACCCTGGCACTGATTGAGGGATTGGCTGCTCTGAAGTGTTTTCTCATCTCAGGTTTCTGACAGTCCCTGACAGCATTGCAGAGAGGTCAAACCACGCACAAAGCCGGCAAAGAACAAAGGGAACGTGTACCTGCTTCACGCAAAGGCTGCCCATGCCCCGCGAGCACTCCCACCAGCACCCAGATCACCCGCAGGTCCCGGCTGCTGCGTCAGCCACCGCCCTGACACCCACACAGGACGCCGGGAGCCAGAGACCAACCCCCTTCCTCCGGACCCCTCCTGCCCACGCAGAGCCAGGAGCCGGACCCAGGTGGGCCAGGGCTCCCTCCCCTCAACACTTGGCCATCGCCTCTGTCACCTTGCAGGCAGAGTCCCCAGCCCCACGTGGCTCAAGCCACCCCTGGGTCACAGCCCCACCGGAGCTCAGAGCATGTGGGGATGGCAGGAACGTGCTCACCGGCTCTACAACTCTCCCTGCTAACAAAAGGAGCAAACTCGGAGGGGCTGAGCCAGCTGGAGGAATATGGCAGTTGACTTGCCACTTTGTCAGGCATTGGTCCAAACTAATTTCCCTGGCAGAGAGCCCGTGATGACTAGATTGATAAATCTGAAGAGGGAAAGCAAATTAACGCTGGAACAAAAGGGGAACCAGGGAAGGGTGAAAACACTCCTCTGGCTTCAGGAAAGGAAAAGGGGATTAAAAAAAAAGAAAAGAAAAGACAGACAATCCATTTGCCTCTGGGCTCCAGCTCCTGCTGTTTCCTCCGTGCTCCCTCCTGTGTCAGGGGCCCCAGGGAACCACTGTGGGGAGGCACGGGGAGGGCTCGAGGCCAGGGTCTGAGAGGTGCTTTGGGATGGCAGGGAGGAGGCCCTGTCCCAAGGCATCTACCAAACCTTAATAGTGCACACCCCGACAACTGCTGAACCCCTTCACAGGCCAGTCCCTTGCACAGAGCCATGCTACGTCTCCCATGCCATTACAGCTACACAGGGATGAGGGAGATAATTTTCCAACAAAAGTCTCCAACCTTGGCCTCTTCCCCACCATCCCCTGCTGCTGGCCAGGACCCCACCCCACTTACCTGTTTGTGCATTTCAATGTTCAGCCCGTAGGACATCTCATAGTACTGAGAGCAAAATCACAACACAGCCTGGTTAGGAGCTACCCAGACCAACCGGCCCGTTACCAGTCAGGGACTCACCAGCCAGCCCACCCCTGCTCCCCCAGCTGAGCTCACTGCTGCTGCTGAGGGTCCCTGCTCCCCCCAGCCCATGAGAAACAGCTGGCCAGCACACCATGGGCCGAGACCCATGCCAGGAGCCTGGTACAAAGCAGTGAGCAGCCAGAGTGTAGACTGTTTAACACCTGTGATGATTACACTGCAGTTTCTGCATTAGTTTAAGCCAGTTTAAGCCAGCCCAGTAGCCCCCTCCATCCCCTCCTGCCCTGTCCCCTCCCACTCCTAACCCAGACCCACGCCCTGATGCAGCTGCCCATCTAGTCACACAAGTGGCCATGCCTGTGCAAGACCAAAGATGACACTGGGTTACACCTTTCATCAGTCACTACTGACTCTGGCAGTGGTGACAGCAGCAGACCCCATCCCCTCGCCCCTGAGGACAGGGAGGAGGGGGGGGGACCAGAGGACCTGCCTTCTTCCAGCAAAGCCCATCTCAAAGGCAGCAGCCCACTTCTGGGAATCCCTGAGCCTCTGGGATGTGGGAAGGGATCCCAGCTGGTGGGTGACAGGAACATGCCCTGTGATGCCAGTAAAGCCTAGTATACCCCCAGCCTCACGCTGTCATTCACCCAGGGGGTGGAGGTTGCCCAAGTTTAGGTCTTTTGGATGGCACAATTTGGGCTCCCCCTTTCCCTAGAGGGGCCAGTAATGTCAGATGCTGAAGGAGAGGGAACGCTGCTCCGGCTCGGTAGTTCCCATCCTGTTCCCTTCCTTCCAGCAGCTACCCCCCTCCTGCCAGGGCTGCTAGCAGAAGGCCTGGCTCTGGCTGGTCCCTGGGGTGGGTCACTGTCAGGGCCCACCAGCAACCAGGGAGGGCTCCTGCCCTGCTCCTTCTAACGGCAGCTTCCCCTTCCACCCAAAGCACCAGCCTTGGGGTATCACTTCCAAGACACACCCACCTTGGGAAAGAGACAGGGAGGAGGGGGGAGCTCTCTTAAAAGGCCAAACAGAAAAAGGCAAAAAAGAAAATAAAAGAGAAAAACCTATGGCAGGATTCCTGGGCTCAAGCAGCACCGAGTGGCAGCAGACATCAGCACAAGAGCCAGCCGTTGCTAGGAATAACGATTAACTCCTTCCTAACTCACACACCCCCAGCCCCACCACCCAGGCCAGACCCAGGCCAGTCACCCCCCTGGCAGGGGCGGCTCGGGGAGGCCGATGGCACATTTGGGTGGGTGGCTGAGCGGGTCCCGGAGCCTGGGACCTTGCCAGAAGGTGGTGGCCAGGGATGCTTTGGGGGAGGCAGGGAGGACAGGGCAGGGGTAGCTCACCATAACATAATGTCTCTGCATCTCCGTCTTCTCGCTCACCAGCTTCTCGCATTCCAGCTTCAGGCTGCAAGGAGGATCCATGGTTTTCATTCATGGACCCACATCTCCTGCCCCATCCCTTCAATTCCCATGTTCCATCCCATGACCTCAGCAAGCTTGGCACACCTCCCGCCTCCCCCCACAGTTTCATGGGGCCGTGGGAGTGTTGCACGCCCACCCCTAACCGGTGCTGCCATCCCTGGGGGACCCAAACCCCTGTGGCTGTGCTGCCCACACAGACCCTGCTCCTCCTTGGTCGGTCTATCGCACCCACCTGCTGCTCTGACTCTGCAGCACTGCTGCCATCCCCCCCATCGCCCTATAACCAGTTCAGCCGGAGGAAAAAAAACATGGGTGGTCTCCCCTTGGGACCCCCACTCAAGACCTGGTGCCACAATTTACAGCTTCACGCTACTCCTCAGCCTAGACCCCTCTGCCGTTCTTCCCCAAGCGTTCCTTTCACCAGGACCCTTTTCTCCATCTTCTCCTGCCCCAGTTCACCCCCTGGTCCGCACCCCGTCCTCCCCCTGTGCCCTCAGCTGCCATCGCGCCCCTTCTCCAGGTGCTCACCTCGCCCACAGCCCCGCCTGACACCCGGCCACCTCCTGGCCCCTAAGCCACCCCGGCTCTTCACCTCCCACCCCACATCCCCACCTGAAATAGGGGTCCCCCGCCCGCTGCTTCCTTCCCGACCCCGCCGCCCCGCTCCGCCCGCCCCTCACCTGTGGTACTGAGCCTGCAGGAACTGGAATTCCTCCTTGATGCGGTCGCAGATTTCCAGGACCGAGAACTTGAAGGGCTGCCCGGGCTGAAGGGGGGTCTGGAGAGAGATGGCCCGGCTGGAGGCTGCGGCTCCGCCGCGCTGCCCTCGTCCCGCCGACCCCCCCCGCCCCGGTACTTACCGGGTGCCGTCCCTGCGGGAACATCCTGAGGGACCGGGCCCCGGCCCCCCCGCTTCCCGGCCGCTGCTCCCCGCCCGTCTCCCCGCCCCTGGCGGGGGAGCTCCCCCCGCCGGGCTCCGGGGATCCCGGGGGGGTCCCTCGCCCCGACGGCGGCAGCGGGAGGGCGACGCGGAGCGACTCAGGCGGGGCGAAGCCGGCTGCCGTCGGGCGGGCGGGCGGCGGGGGCAGCCCGCCGGCCGCGGGGTCTCTGCTCGCCCCCCATGGGGCCGGGGGCGGGCGCAGGCGGGAGGCGGGAACGGGCGGGCGGGAGGTGCCGGCGGGGCCGCGGCGGCCCGGGGCTGGCGGAGCTGCCCGGCCCCGAGCGCCCCGGCCGCCCGCGCCCGCTTAAGGTGGCGCGTCCCCGCGGGAGGGCGCGGCGCCGCCCCCCACCCGGGCAGCACCGGAGACCCCGCCGCGCTGTCGGAGAACCGAGAGGCTCCCGGGGCGGGGCGCGGCGCTGGAGCCGCTGCTCCGGGACCGACCGGAGCCACGCGGGAGGCGCCCGCCGACGCAGACCCCGGTGCTCGGCTCGCCTCGCCGGGACCCTCCCTCCTCCCTCCCGCACAGCCCTCGCTCACACTCGCGGCGGCTCCGCGGGGCACTGCCCCGGAGCGGGACCGAGCCGGGAGCGGAGCCGCGCCGGCGGCCCCGGGGCCAGGAGCACCGCACCCCCCGGAGCATCCCCGTCCCCGAGAGCGCGCCCGGCCGCAGCCATTGCTCCCTCCGCTCCGGGCGGACACGGCACCGGCCGCGGCGGGGCAGCGCGGGGGCACGGAAATCAGAAACGGAAGCGGGACACGGCCGAGCCGGGAACCCCGGGGGCTGCGGGCCCCGGAGGGCAGGGACGGCGGCTCCCCAGGGAGCACCGGGAGGCGGGGACGGGACCGGGAGCGGCTCCGGGGCCGCGCAGCCCCGCCGGGAGCGCGCTCCTCCCGCGCGCAGCGACCCCCCGCTCCACCTTAACCAGCCCCGCGGCGGGCCGCACCTGCCATTGGCTACCGCTGCAAGAGCGCCAGCCAATCGCCCTGCCCTGTTCCCACATGGGCTCCTGACGCCGCGTACCGGGAAGGCCAATGAGGAGGAAGTGGGCCGCAGGAGCCCCAGCGGAGACGCCGCGAGGCACGCTGGGAGTTGTAGTCCGCCGTTGGTTGCAGCCTGCGCGGCGCCGCCGGCCCCGCCTCGCTCCGTCCCGTCCCCGCCGCCGCCGCCCGCCGGGGCCCGGGGAGGCAGGGCCCAGCCCCCGCGACGGGCCCGGCGCGGAGCGGCCGGGATTCCCGCCGCGGGCGGCCCTTGGCGGGCGGACTACGCGGCCCACAAGGCCTTGCGGCGGCCGCCGGCTGCCACTCAAAGTAACGTGGGACGGCGGAGCGCGGGACCGCGCTCGGCGGCGGCGGGGGGGGCCCGGCCAGTCTCGGGCTCCCCGCGGGCCCCGGGACCGGGGACACCCCCGACCGGCGCCAGGGTGCTCGGTTCCGCCGCGGGACGTTCCCGGGGGCTCCCGGAGAGCGGCTGCGGGGGCTGGTGGCAGCGGGGACGGTCACCGAGCCCTCGCCCGCGGGCTCTGCCGGGGGCAGCGGGGAGCGGATCCCGGCCGCGGGGAGGGATCGCGACCCCCGGGTTTCCCCGGTGGCGCCGGGATCCCGACCCCGCTCCAACCCGCGAGCCCTCTCCCTGCCCAGCCCAGTAAGCCCCAGTTAGGCCGCGGCAAGGGCGCGGAGGCAGCTCTGGGCGCGGACCCCGACCCAGCAGGGCAGCTCCCCCCGCTCTGCCACCGCCCCCCTGCCCCGCCGCGGGGCCCTCCGCGCCCCCACATCCTCCAGCTGCAGCCTGCCGGGCAGCCACTGCATTTCGGCGTGGTGAAGTGGGGAACAGTCCTTAAATATTTTAGAAATCAGCTGTACCTGGGCACTGCACAGGCAGGCACAAGGTTAAATATTTAATATCTTACATTTCATCCTAATCTTTTATTAATTGTGTTATTTACTCGCTGCATGCTGGCAGCAGCCAGGGCGGGGGCAAGGTGGTGGGGACCGGGGGCTCTCCCTCCTCACCTCTCCCCACCCCGGTGCTGCTGCCACCGTCCCCTCCCCGCGGTGCCCCAGCAAGGACTGGGGGGGCCTTCCCAGGGCAGCGGACAGTCTGGCTGGGCTGGGGCCCTCCACCCCCCAGTGCACAGCCAGGCCCCATCCAGCCCAGCCTCTGCCTGAGCCTTCCCCGGCCGCGGGTGTTCACTGGGCAGATCCAGCGCTGCCGGCATGGACAGCTGCTAGCCCACTACCTTGTCCCCAAAGTCCTTGAAAAACCTTCCTTTGTGAATGCGTGTATACCTGTCTTTGTGTGTATATCATATATCTGCACATATGAACGTACGTATTTTAATCCAAATGTAAAGTTTTAGAGAATTTATTTTTGGTTTGTTGCCTTGCTGGGGGAGTTGGGATTTTTTATTTAAGGAAAGTGTTTTTTCAAAAGCTGGAAACATTTCAGATTGTGTTTCAAGGGAAGGAGAGACTGAGAAGATGTTTTGCAGCATTTTTGAAAACTGCTTACCAAAAATTGCTGGTTTTCCTTAGGCATTTTCTCTGTTCTCCTGTCTCAGAGAGTGACACAGGTAAACCTGGAACAGGCAGCTCCAGAATGATGGATGTCACACGCGTCTTCATCACCCTCCATTAATGATTGACGGGGGCCCTGGTGTAGGACAGCCTGTAACCCAGAGATTAATTTGCTTCAGCATGTGCTTGGACTGGGGAGAAAACAACCACAGTTAACCCTTTGCACCCAGGCCGCTAGATGCAGCAGCAAAAGGAGCTGGTTCCACTCCTCCCTCCGGGCACAGGGCTGTGAGACGCAGGGCAGAGGATGCAGCTGAGACCAGGCAGCAAAGCTGGGCTGAGCCCCGGCTGCCGCCGCTTGCTTCAGGATGCTCAGCCGGGGGCCCAACCGCTCCCCGTGGCAGCCACGCACTTGTGCCTGGTAGCGGCAGCGCTTGGAAGAGCCCCAAAGGACGAGGGCGTTTGAAATCCATGCCAGGATCAAGAGGCGAGTGCTGTAAACAGCCCTTCTGTTTATAACCAGCAGAGAAACCAAACAAGCCCGGGCTTTGGGACACTCAGGGGCTCTGTTTGAACCTAGATCCAAGTAAAACAGGTTGCTGCTGCTGGAATTACCCTGACAATTTTACCTTTCAGCCCCCTCTGCAAACACCAGCCTGGGGCATAGGAACACACAGCCTCTGGCCCTTGCCAGGAAGGGCAGCCCCAGCTCTGTCCCAGCTCCATGACGTGGGTTGAGTCATTTCTCTCCCCACGCCTCCTTTGCGCAGCCTCCCATACCCAGCACATCTCCAGCGTGGACAGCCAAGGGCAGAGACCACCACATTTCTCAGCGATGCCAACGAGCAACCAGGGCTTGCTGCTCTCGGGGCAGCTGAGCAGGCACACACAGTCTCTCCTCCAGCCTCCAATCTCAAACCCTCCCAGGTGCCCCTTCTCCCTCCTGCTCTGCACAGCTCTGCTTTGCTCCATCCCATCCAAATGCAGGCACCAGGCAGGTTGGTGGTGGAGCGCCATGTGCAACCATCTCACATCCAAAGGTGCTGCTCCGATAGTGCAAAGCTGCTGTGTGTCCAGTTGTGTTGCAGGTGTATTTGCTGGCCTGGCAGGAGACCAGGAGGGATGGGAAGCGGGCAGGGGCATGTCTAGGATGCAGCACTGCCTCAGTCTCCTTGTGGCAGCTGGGGCTGCCCCATTCTTTGCAGACTGGTTCCCTGTTCCTGCCTCTTCAGGTCAACGTGAACTCGGGGCCTGTTGGGCTTAAGTATGAAGACAAGCTCAGCCCTCCCTAGGTGGGCTTTTCAGCAGCCAGACAGTGGTAGCTTTGCATGTAGGGTTTTGGGTCAGTAGGGACATTATGGCGTGTGTGTGGGGGAAGCAGTACCGGGCTCACCAGATTTAGAAGATTCAGGTTTTTCCCTACTGGGACTCAATCAACCAGTTTGCCTAGCCTATGGAAGCAGGGAGAAAAGATGACTGTGATGTTTCCAAACCACCCCATTTTCAGCTTCTCACTTGCATACTCGAATGAGAAGCCTTGAACTCAGTGGAGCTGAGTTCCTGGCACTCTCAGACAACGTGAATTTCCCTGGGCATTTATACCAGCAGCTGGCACAAACAGGGACCTTATCCTGCTGGAGTCTGTATTGGAATGAATGTGAGATGAGAAGGGAAACTGAAGGACGGGACTGGCAGCAAGTCAGCAAGAACTGAGCCAATGCTGAACCAGAAATCAAGGTTTTCCAGTGCCCTGAGACACACTCCTGGGACCAAACCAGAGGTCCCCATACCCAGGCCCCCAGTGCTGTCACCTGCTCTTTAACACCACATGTCCCCAGAGTGTCTTCAAGGCAAACCACATGCCAGAGCCAGGGGGGCTGGGGGGATCTCTCCTGCCATGCCCAGGCAGGACCCCCCTGCATGTTGCAGAGCAGTGTACTCCTGCCTGCAGCCCCTGTACTGCTGCACTCCCGCTGTGCCAGGGACACCTTGTCACCACAGAGCTGTGAACTGGGGGGACGCCCACAAAGAGAGATGTGGGAGCCCTTAGAGCAACCCAGCAGCTGACAGACTCTTGTCTCTGGCACTGCCTTCGATCTGTATGTTGGCTCCTGTTTTGCACTTACTGGCTCTCAGTGGTTTTTAATTATTGATGCCTCTTTTAGCTTTTATCTCGTGCTCACTGCAGCCAGGAAGGGTCTGGCGTTCCTGCATTAGTGATGAATTGGGAAGGAGGCCCTGCTCCACCACGGTGCAAAGCATTCCTGGCTTGCAGGCTGTGCCATTGTTTCAAGCAAATCTGTGCTGAAAAATGAGGAGGGTGGGAGCGGGAGGGGGATGTGGTGGAGGCGATTCCCGCTGCTGCCACGGAGGCGACAGGGATCTGTCCTACGGGAACAAGCTGAAGGGGGTGGACCAAGAGTCAAACAGATGTGGAAACCTCCTTCACCCGGTGAAAAACTGGCACCTGCTCACCTCATCAAGGAGCAAGATGCTGTTTTATGACCCCTCCAGTGACAGGCAGGTGGAAGCTGGAGGAAAGAGATGTGAGACAGCAGAGTTTTGCCAAGGCCCTGGCAGCTGCAAGCAGGAATCGATGTCAAACCTGGGCTAAATGCTGTGCTGCTCTGTGGTCAGTGCACGGGGCACTGATGGACGGGGTCCTGCCCCTGCCCTCCAGACTCGGCCACCTCTCCACTGGCTGCAGCCAAGGCTCCTTGGACAGCGGGACAGTGACTGTCACTAGGCTGCTTTCTATCCCCCTTCAATGAGGCAGGGC